CCCACCCAACTCCCCAGCCCCGGACATATTGCTGGTGCCTTGGCTCAACACCTGTTTTTCTGGGCCCAAAGTGTGTTCATGTCTTCTCCCCATGCCCATAAGCCACAGGCTTCATGACGACTGGCATCATATCTAATTCATCTTGCCCTGCACATAGTAGGTGCTTACTACGTGTTTCTTGAGGTAATTAAAAGGAGCTGACCTATAACCATATATGGTTTTTCCTCTCAAAGTGAAGGAGACCTTGAAGATGATCTACTCCAATCTCTTCACACTACAGATAAGGGAAAGGAGTGGCCCAAGGTCTCAGGACATGAGTGACAAGGGATGGAAGACACAGGATTGCTTTTTCAGGGGGAGCCATTTACTCATTTAGTTAGCATTTCCTAACTCAAGCCATTACCAAGTCTTTATTTGGCAGCTACCATGTGCCCAGCACTGTGTCAGGCCCACCAGCGGTAAGAATGGCAAAACTCAAAAACAGAGTTGTCCTTGAGCACTTATTGTATGCCAGACACTGTGTTGGGCACCAGAGATGCAAAAATGACCAAGATGGCATCTCTGTCTATTAGAAGCACCAAATGAGGGTCAAAAGTGTCAGGTAACCATAGTCCCTATCTTCAAATTGCTGGCAGGGGATACTGGACGCATGAATGTAACATTAAAATAATAGGTGGGGACAAAGCTGTATGCAGGTGGCTATCAATTAGATGCTTGAATCCCTGGGCAGACATCCAGGAAGGCTTCCTGGAGAAGGAAGGCCCTAAGCAGACCCTGAAGGTGGAGGGCTGCCGAGTTGCTGCTGGCCTTGTGGCATGAACTAGAGGTTACAATATATGAATTCTTAGCCCACTAATATAGATGCGTGTAAAGTCCTGAAAAATAAAGCAGGGAGATTCCCTGGGGGTTGGAAGGGGAGGGACCTCTAGGGGGAATTATTATCCTCCTTCAACTATAGGGAAAATGGCACCTAGGGAAGGTGGCTGATAACGCTATTCCTCTTCAGAAGCTGTAGTTGGAGAGCCTCCCACAAGGCCAAGGTCAGCCCCTTTGACCACACTAAGTCCCCTTTTAGAACTGGGCACTCTGCACAGGGAGAACCCTGGGCCCTTCTCCCCACTTAAGTCCCAATTCCTTAAGTTCCAGGTAGCTCTTAGGACATAAAGAAAGCTCAAACATGAGCCCCGCTCCCACAGAACCAGGCCTAGAATCGAATAATTGCCAAATCCTAGAACCCAGTGGGCCCTTGCAGCCACCTGCAACCTGAGCATAATCATCTTATCCCAGAGTTTCAGATCTCCAAGAGGACCCCTATCTGACATGAAAATCATCATTTTGAGGATCCCGCATATGAGAGTATCTGTATTTTTAATATCCACCAACTGTGGGGGAAACAATAGCAACACCCTGCCATAAATTCCGGGGTGCTTTTGCAAGCAGTGTGTTTTATTAATCAGTAACATCCGCATATAGTTCTAGGAAAGAGCCATGTCTGTGTTGATACAGGTGCTTGGTCACCCTACAAAGAACACTTGATGCGCAGGCGGGATCAGAGGTCCCCATCACATGGGGGAGTCCATCTTAGTCCAGGGTGCCCTCAGGAACAGTAGCATCCCTTGGCCAGCAGTCTGAATCCTGGGTTTTCAACAACCACAGGCAAAAGAATTCCTTGGGGTGGCTCAAGGTTTCTGGTTTTACACAGCTTTGTTTCCCCTTCCCCAGGCTCCCTTCAGTCAATCCATGCTGCTGGTCCAGGATTCACCTCTTGTGCACCTGACACTCCACTGGGAGAGGCCTCCATTGAGGGGTGAAATGTGGCCACCAGATTCTCACTGGGGAAAGATCCCATTCCCTGGGGAGAAGCTCTCCCCTCACCCTCCACACAGAGACCTATTTCCTGGAGAGCCTGCTGTGAAAAGGATCTATGGCAGGCAGGGAGCGGGCACTAGGCTAGACAGAGGCACCGGAGGATGAGTGCAGCCTGTGGCCTCCCCTTCCTGTTCTCTCTCGCTGTCCTGCCCCCCCCCCGCCCCCCGCAAGCCCAGGTGGGCTGTACAGTGCCAGCCTGCTGCTGAATTGGTTGCACTGTTCCACCACTGCCAGGACTGGCTCTGTTCATCGGGCCTGACCATCTTCCTCCCATTTTCTGTCTGTCTGTCAAAACCCATCCTTATAACAAGGCAGACATGATTTTTAAACTAATTCTGCTCCTCCTTGAGCTTCTGATATTCACCTTCCAAAGCCACGCAGGTCGCCAGGGCCCACCCAGTCCATTCAGCTAATTAATACTTGTGAGAATGGAAGCCTCTCTGCCTGGGAGCAAACCCCACCCCAGCCAGAGCGAGGCCTCCAGCCTCACGCCTTTTAAAATTCCTTCCTTAGCCTTTGGATCTAATCACCCCAACACATAACTGCCTCTCTCTCAGCTCAAAAAGAATGTGTAGGCCTTTCTCCTCTTTCTTAGTGAGACATTCCGTCCATCCCCCATAGGCCGCCATTTGTCAAACTGAGGGTCAGTCATTTAGATCCATTTGTTGGGTCACAACTAGCTTTCTTTTTTCTTAATGAATAGAATACATCACAGTGCAGAGAAATATCAGAGTGCATCATACACAGTAAATGTCATTTTTCAAAGACTTGGTTTCTATTATATGTATGTGTGCACCTATGACATAAAATACATATTACACCAAGGATTGTGGCCGAAAAATTCTGAAAAGACGCCACCCACTCTCTGGGCCCTGCCCCAGAGGTAGTTGGCTGGGACCCAGCTAGAACCAGTGGCTCCTGGGCTCCCTGGGTGGGCATGTAGCTCACCCCCAGCTTGTGCAGCCCTCCGTAACAGCACTCCCTTCCCCACAGTTGGTTTCTCCCAGGCCTAACCTTGGATACCAACTAATATATCAAAAATGAAGGCAGCCCTTCATGATGTGGTCCCTTACTCCCACAATCTCATCTCTTGCCATATCTCATTTTATACTTTAGGGTGTAGCCACAGGGCACTATTTTTTCTTTCAAGGCATGATTCTCTCTCCTGCCTCCTGTTTTTCACATATAGGGTTTCCTTTAACTGGTCAGTTTCCCCTTAGCCCTTAGGACTCAGTTTCGGCAACACCTCTTCCCGACAGGCCAAGCCTTGGCTGGGTTTTTCTCCCACATTCCAGATGCACTGTTTGCCTCCACCTCTTCATACTGCACGGTGCCCCCTTTCCACATTCTTCCTTTTGCCCTCACCCCTCTTCCCACGGATCTGAGTCTGCCTTTGGCCCACAGGCATCCGCTGTGACAGCACGTGTCCACCTGGTCGCTGGGGCCCCAACTGCTCCATCTCCTGCAGCTGCGAGAACGGTGGCTCCTGCTCCCCAGAGGATGGGAGCTGCGAGTGTGCCCCTGGCTTCCGAGGACCCTTATGCCAGAGAAGTAAGGCTAAACACACACCCCCTTGTCATCCTCCAGACCTCAGATGGCTCATCCTCCCACCCCTTCCCAATTAGAACTAGTCCCAACCTGAAAGAGGCTGGGCTCTGAGTCAGCCCCATCAAATCCCTCCCTTTAGTCCCCTCTCTCCTTGGCTTTCCTGTCCCCAAGTTCAGGGCCCAGCCCAGGTCCTCAGTGGAAACAGGACCAGACTACAGCTCCTCTCTGCAGAAAGAGACAGGCCCTCCAAGGTGTGGGGTGGGTGTGGCTCTCCCCATATTTTTGAGGAGCCTCCTTTCATCACTATGTGGGACTGGAGGGGTGACCAGTCTGGCTGGGGCCCCTTGGGCTGCTGACCACATCTCCCCTTCACCTCCAGTCTGCCCCCCTGGGTTCTATGGCCACAGCTGCGCCCAGCCGTGTCCCCTCTGTGTGCACAGCAGTGGGCCTTGCCACCACGTCAGCGGCACCTGTGAGTGCCTCCCCGGATTCTCTGGAGCCCTCTGCAACCAAGGTACTGCCACAGGGGGAAGATGGGAGCCAGGGAGGTGAGGTGTCCTGGGAGGGAAGTGGCAGGGAAGGAAGGTTTGGGAGTCTCATCGTGCTCTGTGGAGGCAGCTCCTTGCCTCTTCAGGCCTCGGGCCTACCTTTCTAAGAACGGCACCACGAGGTGTGAGACAAAGCCATGATGCAGCTAAACGCACAAGCTCAGAGAGGTTAAATCATTTCTCCAAGCTTTCACAGCAAGTGGCAGAGCAAGAAACAAATTCTGATGCCAAAGCCCATGCTAAATGGATGAGAAATGAAATAAGTGTAGGTGAGGTCCACGTGGCTTATGTGAGGGCCAAGTGGTAAAGGCAGAGAAAGCTGTGGGAGCTCAGAGTGGGTTTTGGCTTCAGCTGGAGATGGCAATTTTGCAGCCCTCCTCCCCTCGCACTCAGGCCAACATCACTAATCCCACACCACCCGCTCTCCTGTCTCAGCTGCAGAATCTTTCACACCACCAGCTCCAGCCAACCCCTACCACTCAACAGGAGGTAAAAATGGAGAGAAAGCTTATTTGCTTTGGTGTGCTGCTAAACTTGTTCTCTCCATGGGAGAGCCTTGATTTTTAACATTTGTAAATTTCCATGATAAAATATTCCCAAGGTACCGATGGTTTAGCAACGGTCACAGAAATACTGAATGTTTAACAGTGCAAAGGTAGAAGCTGGCTCTAGCCCACACCATTGCTTATCCAGCCCCAGCTTAGTTAGGCCAGGGCAGTGTACATGTGGGGAACAGCTCCATGCTGGGCAGGACTTCACTGGGTCTTAGCTTGAAAGACAGAGAAGGAAGAAAGGCATTTGAGTGGCAAAAGCACAGAGGAGAGGGCATGCGACTGTCCAGCAGTGGGGAATAGCTGAAGGATGGTGGAACTGGCGATGGGATGGGAAAGGGGCTGAGAAGGTGGTCGGGGCCTTCGGAACAGCTTTGAACACAGGATTGCAGAATTTGCACTCTAACCTGTAAGGAGGGAAAGGATCTTAGACTAAGGTAAACTCAGAGCTAAAAGCAACTTCAAGGTCATCTGTGCAAGAATCTCATCTGGCCTCTGCTTAAATACTTACTATTGAGAGCTCACTACCTCCCAGGGAACTGATTCTTTTGATGAGTAATCACCACTGAGCCGAACTATTTTTGTAAGTGGATGGGCTGTTAATATGTATGAGTGAAAAGTTTACTCCATGATGCTCTGAGGTCATGAGAAGTTTGAGCCCCAGGGAAACATATGTGACAGTTTCATTTGCTTGCAGCCCTCCTAGGGCAGTTTAATCATAACCTGGCACATCGAGGTTTACTTATTAAACATCAGAGACCCGGCCATCAATATGGATAGGCTGGGTCTAAATTAGGACCTAAGCAGCCCGAGGAGTAACTCTCAGAACCTGCGATGTCTGATTTATCTCCCGCTGGCCTAATGTGTATTTTCCACATATAGATCTAATGGAGTTTGCTATTAATGGCAACTGCCCTGGTTAAGTCTCAAACCTTGTAAAAAATTGAACTGACACTTTCTAATGACCAGCTTTCCAGCAAGTTACAAATTACAGACATTGCTTATGCAGAATCATTAAACATAGATTAAATATAACCAGATGTTTTCTTTTCACCAGCCCCCCTTCTCTCCACCACCCCTCTCTCTGCCTCATTCTTGATTCAGCTAAGAAGTGGACCAATTAATGTATTAGACTGATCGCATTAGCAGCTCTGTGGGTGAATTTGTCAGCCTTGTATATGTGACAAAGGCTTCAAAGATAAGGCTCTTGTTAGAGAAGCTCAGAGTTGGTTTTGGAGATGGGGGTAGGTGGAGAAGCTCTGGCCAGGACTGTGGGGGATGGGCTCCCCAAATCAAGCACCTCCCAGAGGAGGCTGGGCTGCATGCTTTTCAGGAAGCTGAAGCCAGAGCCTGAGCTGCAAAGAGGTGAGATGTGTGTCATCCTCCTGGCAGTGGACCTCCCCTGGAAGGAACTAGGGGTTTTGCCAGGAGCACAGGGCCCCAATCAACCAGCCTGCCCATAGCTGTTAACAGCCTGAAGCCAGGGGGTGAGGCTTATCCTCATTTCAAAGATGAGGAAACACTAAGAGGAGGGATGTAGTTTGCTCAGAGCTACTTAGCCAGAAGGTGGCAGAAATTCCCAGCTGAGTGACCTTAGGCAAGTTACTTAACCTCTCAGTGCCTCAGTTTTCTCATCTGAAGTAGAGTTAATTAAAGGGAGTAATAATGAAAATATATAATAATGAGAGTGTTACAGGTTCATTGAACTCATACTTGTGAAGCACTTTGCAGTGTCTGGTGCACAGAGCACCACAGAAGTGTTCGTTGAATACATAAATAAAATCCAAACCCAAGGCTTTCGACCAGAGAGCTCGCTTTACCACGCTGCCTTTATTATTTGTCCCAACCACTAATCATGTACAGGAAAGACACAGAGTGGACACAGATCCTAGGCACCAAGTGCTGGAAATCTGGCTGGGGAAGGGCTGACAATATGAGTGCCAGGCGGTGTTGCATAAAGGAGAATACAGCCCAAGGTCTGAGAGACCTGAGCGCTGGCGAAGTCGCTTCTCTTCAAGAATCAAGACCTCCCCATGATCCTCCGCGTGGCTCAGCCAACTGAGGGCCTCAGGGATTCCAGGAGTTCCTCCTCCACAACAGGAGTGCAAGGCAGCCTTCTTGGAGGATGTGGCGCTGGCTGGAACTGAGCTTTGAGCAGAGCATGTTGAACTGAGAGAAGCTCAAAGGGACAGGAGTTTCCAGCAGAAACCACTGGAAGGTCATTGCTCTTGGGGCCTATTTTGCAACATTTCCTGAGTGTTTGCTGCATTCCAGGCACTGTGCTGGCCACTCAGACCCAACAAAGAGCAGGAGAGCCAGGTTCCCTGTCCTCACAAAGCCTGGAGTCTAGAGGGGAAAATCCTGAGCTCAGCCTTTCCCAGAAGAACTTGGGAGACGAGTGTGGGGAAGGGGTGGCCAGTGTATTTCCACACTCAGCCACTATGCCTTGAGTGCCTGTTGTTTTTCCAGGCATTGTTGGGGACACAGATATGGATGGAACCTAGGCCTGGCCTGAAACAGGCCCATAGCCACAGTAACAGAAGACCAGGGAAGAAAGTAAGAGTGTTCTAGAAGCTCAAACAGGGATAAATCACCCCCCAGAAGAGAGAAGAGGGGTGAATCAGGTAGGATTAAGTTTTGCTATAGGTGACATAAAAAACACAAAATATCTGCTTTGAAAATGACAAATATTTTTATGCCCCTCACTCATTAAAAAAAAAAAAGCAGGGAGAAGATTCAGAAGTAGGCCACCAGGGAATGGTAGGGCAGCTTACAAACACGCCAGGGACCCAGGCTCCTTCCCCTTGTTCAGCCATGCTCAGCACATGGCTTCCACGTCTGATGAAGGATGGCTACTTGAGCTCCAGCCATCTCACCCGCAGTTCTTTTCCATAATCCACATTATCCTTCAACAAGGAGAACAGGCAGAGACATGCATTTCCACTTACCATTGGCCAGAATATAGGCACATGGCCACACCAAGCTGTGAAGGAGCCAGGGAAGTATATTCTTTATTCCAGGGGGCCATAGGCCCAGCTAAAACTCGAGACTCTACTAAGGGAGAAGAGAATTGGTATCGAAGGACTAGCCACCTCCTACAGAGGGATCACTGCAGGAGGGGGCATTTAAGATGAGTCCTGTAGGTGGGTAGGATTTCTATAGCTGGACATGAGGGTCAGGGAAATTCTGGAAGGGAAGAGCTGGAGCAAGGACAGGCATGGGGCGTATTTAGAAAGTGGTGCGTGGACCTGTGGCTCATGTGTCTGGATGAGGTGGATTAAATGATGATCTCTAGGATCCAATTTTTATTCTGGGCAGTGGGGAGCCACTGAGTATGTCAGGCAGGGAACAGGAGTGCCATGAAGACAACTGTGCTCTAGGGAGCTGAAGCTGTAGGGAGGAGGTGAAGGATGAATTGCAGGGGAAATGAAATTAACACTCACACCTAGTCCTAAAGTTGCCTGCAGCCTAGTTGAGGAAACCAGCCCTTCCTCCAGGGACCAACGAGTGACTCCTCCAGGAGAGGTTGAGATAAGAAATTCTACAAGTGACTCAAAGCAGAAATACCATGGAAGCTCAGGAGCTCTCTTGAGAACAGGACTGAGCTGAGGCTTCAGGAATAGGTCAGATTTCAAGAGACAGAGGAAATAGGTAGACAGGGATAGACATTCAGGGCCAGTCCTCCAATAAATGGCAGACAGACATACCACCTGCATCTGTCCCTCTCCTTTCAACTACAAACATTTCCTGCCCTCACAGTTATGGGATCAGTGATGCTGGCAAGAGTGTGGTAATGGAAAGCAGAAGGCTGCAGGGCAGTGCAGGGAGCACTGGGCTGAGTGCAGCGGTGGGATTCCCAGCCTCTCCACTTGTCTGTGAGACCTGTCGAGTGATTCTACCCCATGGGCTTCAATCTGTTCCTCTGTCGGAGGAGATCATTAATAGAGCCTTCTGAAGAATGCAGCTGTGGGCACAAAGAGGGGAACTCATTCATGTGCCGGTGGGGAAGGGCCGAAGTGAACAGTTCCTAAACAGATCCATGACCCCAGGGTGGTCATGGCTGTAGCCTGGAAACTTCTAGGGATGCAGCTGCGAGTGGTAGTCTGGTACTGGTGGGAGGGCACGTGCCAGTCTGTCCTCTGTCCACAGTGTGTGCTGGAGGGTACTTTGGGCAGGACTGTGCCCAGCTCTGCTCCTGTGCCAACAATGGGACCTGCAGCCCCATCGATGGCTCCTGCCAGTGCTTCCCTGGATGGATTGGCAAGGACTGCTCACAGGGTAAGCTACCGCCTCCTGGGAATGCCCCCCATCCCAGGTCAGGCCCCAAAACACCCTGCTCCTTGTTGCCGGTGCCTCTACCTCCCAGGGCTGAAATCTTCTGCGATAGGAATGTCCACCTGAGTCCCGCTTAGCTCTCTAGCTAACATGATGAATTGTTAGGCTTGATCACTGGCATTATTAACTGCCAGTGTCAAAGGTATTGATATTGTCAGTAGTACCATTAATATTATTAATATGAAAATTAACACTCCATCAGCACCTGAGCAAGGAGTAGCCCCTACATTTGGATGGAGAGGAAGAGGGGGCAGGGACTGGCATGCTGGAGTTAGGGAGCAAGGAAGTGAGGTGAGGCAAGAGCAGTCACCTTAGAGGGGCGAGGGTGTCCTGTGGGTGGCCCATGTGAATGATGTCCTAGACAGGGCACTATAGGGGCTATTCATGTAAGGTGTATCTAACCTAATCTAAAGGTTAACAGGGACCCCCCCAATCTAAGGGCAGACACCCAAGCTCTGCCCTGGGTATCTCCTTGGCTGATGGGTGAGACCTAGCCAGTGCCCCTTAGGGCAGTCCCAGTTAGATGTTCTGGCCTGAGGGAATTTCCATTCTGATGAAGGAAACACAGGTGCCATCCTCAGGGAGCTCACCAGCCAAAAGAGCAGAGTCCCTACCAGGGAAAGTTCCCACTCTCGTGGGGAAATTAGCACACAGTGTTCACACAGTAAACTACACTTACAGTTTATCACACCCCCTACACATTCCAAATCAGTCAGTCCCCAGAGGAAAGGTTCAGGAACACTCAGAGCTGGGAGAGGGGGCACAGAACCTGGGCTTAATAGGAATCCTGGGTGACTGGGGCAGGAAGTGAATGGAGGAATTCTGGGATCAATACAGTACACCCCACCCACCCCCCGAAAGTCAGGAAATACCACCTGGGTGCATCCTGGCATCTTGACAGACATGCATCTTCCCTTCCTCTCCCTCCCTCCGTCTGTTCATCTCTGTCGTGCCCTCACCCTCGCATCCCATCTAACCCCAGCTTGCCCACCTGGGTTCTGGGGCCCCGCTTGCTTCCACACATGCAGCTGCCACAACGGGGCGCACTGCAGCGCAGAGGATGGGGCCTGCCGCTGCACGCCAGGCTGGACCGGACTCTTCTGCACGCAGCGTAAGCTCCTCCTCCTGGCCTCCCAGCTACTCAGAATCCCACGCTGCGGCCTGCTGGCTGCCTTGGGGATTGTCTAGGGCTGCAGTTGGAGGGAGGGAGGAGGTGGGGCCCCAGGGTCGGGAGCCGCCCCCCCTCCCACCCCCAGGATTGAGGAACTTGACTGGATTCAGGGGTTAAGAAGCCCAAAGTCCTGGGAGGGCAGGGCTATCAGGTTCCCCAACAAACGCCAAGACCAGTCCTCCTTTGGTCAGTGGGGCCCAGTGAAGAGGAGTGGCCTGTTACTACACAGCCAGGAGACCCCAGCCTGGCTTCTGGTTCCAGGGCACCTTTGTCCAAAGGATTCGCCACCCTTTCAGTGTGAGGGTTCAGAGTGTGGAAATGGCCCAAGTGCATGGTCTCACTAGTCCTCACCCCATGCTCAGAAAGAGGTGGCAGGAGACAGGTTTGGTCCCAGCTGCACCTCCACAGTTACTCCGTTTCTCCAGGCTGCCCAGCAGCGTTTTATGGGAAGGACTGTGGGCATGTGTGCCAGTGTCAGAATGGCGCCAGCTGTGACCACATCAGCGGCAAGTGCACCTGCCGCACAGGCTTCACCGGGAGACACTGCGAGCAGAGTAAGCTTTCCCAACCCATGACCCTGGGTGTCAGTGTCAGGCCTCAGCCTCCTATAGGGAAAGCCTCCCCCTTCAAGGTCTACTCCATTCAGGGATCTACATGCCCTGCTCCCTTGACTTCTGGAGTCACTCCCAAGGAAAAGGGCTGGAGCTCGTGCTTATACTGCTGTTCGGTTTCTTCCTCCAGTTGAGTGGGGATGGGGAACTGTTGAGGCACAGGAGAGGCCTGAGCGGGTAATGAGGGAGGCAGACTCTGTTCAATTCTTCTCTGAAGCCCCTATGGCACCCAGCTCAGGGCCTGGCATGAGGATACTGTATAAATGTGTCAAGTGAAAAGGAAATAAGGGTGGGTGTCCCCAACTCAGGGCTAGAGGTGGTGCCTACCCCCAACTATCAAACCAAAGACGAGCTAGAGAAGTAGGTTTCCCTCTGAGGCACAGCTGCCCAGATGGGAGGGGTGGAATGTGGCTATGTCTTGCTATNGTCTGTTCATCTCTGTCGTGCCCTCACCCTCGCATCCCATCTAACCCCAGCTTGCCCACCTGGGTTCTGGGGCCCCGCTTGCTTCCACACATGCAGCTGCCACAACGGGGCGCACTGCAGCGCAGAGGATGGGGCCTGCCGCTGCACGCCAGGCTGGACCGGACTCTTCTGCACGCAGCGTAAGCTCCTCCTCCTGGCCTCCCAGCTACTCAGAATCCCACGCTGCGGCCTGCTGGCTGCCTTGGGGATTGTCTAGGGCTGCAGTTGGAGGGAGGGAGGAGGTGGGGCCCCAGGGTCGGGAGCCGCCCCCCCTCCCACCCCCAGGATTGAGGAACTTGACTGGATTCAGGGGTTAAGAAGCCCAAAGTCCTGGGAGGGCAGGGCTATCAGGTTCCCCAACAAACGCCAAGACCAGTCCTCCTTTGGTCAGTGGGGCCCAGTGAAGAGGAGTGGCCTGTTACTACACAGCCAGGAGACCCCAGCCTGGCTTCTGGTTCCAGGGCACCTTTGTCCAAAGGATTCGCCACCCTTTCAGTGTGAGGGTTCAGAGTGTGGAAATGGCCCAAGTGCATGGTCTCACTAGTCCTCACCCCATGCTCAGAAAGAGGTGGCAGGAGACAGGTTTGGTCCCAGCTGCACCTCCACAGTTACTCCGTTTCTCCAGGCTGCCCAGCAGCGTTTTATGGGAAGGACTGTGGGCATGTGTGCCAGTGTCAGAATGGCGCCAGCTGTGACCACATCAGCGGCAAGTGCACCTGCCGCACAGGCTTCACCGGGAGACACTGCGAGCAGAGTAAGCTTTCCCAACCCATGACCCTGGGTGTCAGTGTCAGGCCTCAGCCTCCTATAGGGAAAGCCTCCCCCTTCAAGGTCTACTCCATTCAGGGATCTACATGCCCTGCTCCCTTGACTTCTGGAGTCACTCCCAAGGAAAAGGGCTGGAGCTCGTGCTTATACTGCTGTTCGGTTTCTTCCTCCAGTTGAGTGGGGATGGGGAACTGTTGAGGCACAGGAGAGGCCTGAGCGGGTAATGAGGGAGGCAGACTCTGTTCAATTCTTCTCTGAAGCCCCTATGGCACCCAGCTCAGGGCCTGGCATGAGGATACTGTATAAATGTGTCAAGTGAAAAGGAAATAAGGGTGGGTGTCCCCAACTCAGGGCTAGAGGTGGTGCCTACCCCCAACTATCAAACCAAAGACGAGCTAGAGAAGTAGGTTTCCCTCTGAGGCACAGCTGCCCAGATGGGAGGGGTGGAATGTGGCTATGTCTTGCTATCTACCCCAAATCTTCATGTTACATAGGATGTGCCCCAGGAACCTTTGGCTATGGGTGTCAGCAGCTATGTGAGTGCATGAACAATGCCACCTGTGACCACGTCACCGGCACCTGTTATTGCAGCTCTGGATTCAAAGGAATCAGGTGTGACCAAGGTAATACACAGATGGCAGAGTCCTCGGGCAAGGGGATGTGGAAAAGTCCCCACAGGGACAGACTCTAGGGAGATCCCAACAGGAACAACTGGATTATATAACACTTTGTGACTTTATTCATATTTGGGTGGAGAGGAAGGAGGAGGTTCCAGGTGCTGGAGAGCAGATGGAGCAGGCAGTCTGTCTTCCCCGTGCTCATCCTTGGCAAGCTTCCTGTGAGCTAAGCAAGGGTAACCACAAGCTAGTGCTGTGGAAAGATCACCAGACCATCTGACGATCTGCCAGATTCTGGTTCTGTCAACCTGCTGGGTGTCCTTGATCAGGTCATTTCCTTTTGCTGGGCCTGTTACTCCACATGCACAATGGAAAGAGTAGATTAATCCTTGTCTTCCATGATGGCCAGAGGTTCTGCTGAGAGCCAAGGAGCCCACAGGGGCTCAACCCTGGCTCCAGGTCTACAGTCAGAAGACACCCATAGGGCAGTTGGGAGGACCAAGTTGAGATAATGTGAGCCCTTGATAAATGGTTTTGTATACATAAAAACCCTCTGTAAAGTGCTGCAAACATGTAAGGGATTATATTGCTATTGGTTCTAGGAGATGGGGGATGACAATGGGCTATTATCCACATGACAGAAAAGGGGGCAAAGCCTATACATTGCATTCTGACGGGGGTTAGCCACACATATCAAGAGGGGTTTTGTGGGCAGTAATGGTGGGCACATTGGTACAGCACATATGGTACTCACAGTCCCCTGGAGAGGGTGGGATTACTCTCCCCATTACAAATGACCCAACCGAGGACTCTAAGTCACATCTAAGAAGCACAGCTGGTAAGCAGGGAGAAGGGCTGAGTCTAATTTTTTTCTACCCCTGAGAAATCTGACCCTACCAATAACTGGTTGTCTGATCTTGGGCAAGTTACCTAACCTTTCAGTGATTCAGTTTCTCCATTTGTGAAAGAGAAGGAATTAAACAGTCCTTATTTCATTGGGCTGTTGGGAAGGTTAAATGAGTTATTATCTGAAACTCATTTTTGGAACAGTAAAATACTCAATAAATATCATTTTGTTTCCCATCCACAATCACATTTGTTCCTGGGGGGTTCTCTAGGACACCACCCACTTTAGGCAGTTGAAGAAACAGGCACAGTGAGGGTTGAGATCACAGAATTAAAGAATAGAGCCAGGACCAGAACCCAGGTCTCCTAATGTTACAGAAGTCTAGATGTCACAGAGCTCTGAAGAGCAAGCAGGTGGCCCCAGGCTCAGGTCCTCCCTCTACCCACAGCTGCCCTCATGATGGAGGAGCTGAATCCCTACACCAAGATCAGCCCAGCTTTGGGTGCAGAGCGGCACTCGGTGGGTGCTGTCACAGGCATCGTCCTCCTGTTGTTCCTCATTATGGTGCTGCTGGGCCTGTTCGCCTGGCGCCGACGAAGGCAGAAAGAGAAGGGCCGTGACCTGGCTCCCCGTGTCTCCTACACACCTGCCATGAGGATGACCAGCACTGACTACTCCCTCTCAGGTAAGGGCTATGCCCCCAGCATACAACCCAGGAAGAACCACACCATATCCTTGGGGACACCTGAGTTTACTGCCGAAGGTGGGTGGTCATGCCTGCAGGGTGGGCAGCTGGGGCTGGATGCTCAGACTCCCCTAGAGAGGTGATGGGAGTGGAGAGCAGGAACCTACTTGGGAAGGGCAGATAGGCTCCCAAGGGTATCATTTCCTGGGCCCCCAGCACTGGATGCCTATGATGAGGAGCCTCCTTCCATTTCCCCAGACCTTCCCATCCTTCAGCCACAAGAGCACCCACCTAAGCAGTAACTTTCCAAAACTCTCCAGGGGACCTCTCTCCTGCCTGATTCCTGTGATACCTCAGGAAACTGGCCTTGGGGTCCAGTGTCCAGACCCTGTCCCACTTTTGCTTCCTTGGGTGAAGGTATCAGAATAACCCTCCCTTCCCAGTTCCCAGAGTTAGGAAGGCCCTGTTAGTACAGTGAAAGGGGATGGTGCCTGCCTTGGGGGGATCTGAAAGTGTGGGCAATGTCCCTATGGCCAGACGGGCTGGAACCCAGTCTGTCCACAAACCTGGTGGTAACTCCAATAGGCATCCTATCTGGGAGTCTGAAGGGGTGAGGGTGCGGCTATTGAGCCAGATCCTTCCACTCCCCTGAACCCTGACTGCTGCCTTAGAAATAGGAAAGGCTTTTTGCTTCATATTTAGTTAAACAGAAGAGGTTGAAATGCTCTGAAATCACCCATAGCCCTGGGCCACAGGAGGCTCGGCCTCTCTGTGGGAGCACAAGGATGACAGCTCTCTCCAGCTTGCTCCATAGCTCACAGATGACCTGAAGCCTCCTACCCTTGTACTTATAAAACCAACATCACATCAGCCCATTCCCACTACATGTTGCTTACCATGTGCCCAGCTCCATGCTAGGTGCTACAGGATAGACAGAGGCAGCCCAGATGCAGACCTTACCTTCAGAGTCCCTGGCCTGCAATCTCCCCACACACTGACCCCCACCCGCACCCTGGGGTTTCAACCAAAGCAGTATCCTCTGATGAAAGCCTAAGCCCACAGAGAAGATTTGGGGATTTTCTTCTATGACTGTAATGAGCAAGGTTGGCCAGGTTTGCCCATGCCATTCCACTGGAATCCTCCAGCCTTGTCGAGAGGTCCTGGAATACATAGGGCAGGAGGGCAGGACTGGGGCCAAGGAGAGTAGGGTTCTCTTTATGGCCTCACAAATGGGATCTCACCTTGTGGGGAGGAAGGAGAGAATCAGCATAGCCCCTAAGTAGTGACTCAGGGATATCTGAGGCTGTCAAAGCCAGCATATTCTCATCCATGCTCCAGCTGCTGGTACCACCCCCCACACTGGCGAGACTACCATGCATCCTGCATGCTTTAGGGACGGCCACCATGAGGGAAGGGGAAATCAGGCTCCACAAATTTCTGTAGGGGCAGGGGGTGCCAAAAGCTTGGGGGCTGGGGGACTTGGCTGTCTTTTTGCAGAGCACTCTCAAGGCTGCTCAGCCCAGGCATTAGTATTGGGGCATCTCATTCCAGGGGCAGGAGTATGATGGTATGTGGCAACTTGTTCTCTTCCCAGATTTGTCTCAAAGTAGCAGCCATGCCCAGTGCTTTTCCAATTCCAGCTACCACGCACTGGTATGCGGGGGGCCTGCCACCAGCCAGGCCAGCACTCTGGACAGGAACAGCCCCACAAAGGTACCGGGCCCCTTACTCCCCAGCCCCTACCCACTGTCCTCCCTTCAGTCCTTACCTCTGCCCAGGAAGGAACTGTACCCTACCCCCACCCGGAAGGTCCACATGGAACTAACTGCCAATACATTAAACATAGCCCTATGGTCCATGGAACATGTAAACACTCTGTAAAGCATGTAACAGGGAGCCTGCAGGTTACATGGAGCCAACAAGCGCCATGCAACCAACAGGCGTCACATGTAACTAACCCCACACCCTGTGTGTAACCAGCTGGTACCAAGTCATGTGATCATGTGTAATCTTGTCACATAACCATGTACACCATGTAGCCACTTTACCACGTTAACACATGTAATCAAAACCCTGCACCACATACCACCAATCACTGAAGTAGGTTACCAATACCATGTATACAACCAGCACATTATAGAGTAACCACTATTACTCAGGTAACTAGCTGATGCCCTTGTACCTGGATATACCATGTGTCATTAGTGTGCACCCACATCCATTTATTGTAATCAGAACCAATGCAAGGGACATGGGACCCAAACATTAGCCATAGCCAGTGTTCTCGTTAACAGTGAGTCCTATGGGCCTTCCCTCACAGCTCCGAGCATAACTGTGGGCTGGTGGCAACATGTCTTCTTACAGGTCCTTCGGCAAGGACGTCTAGAATACACATATAGTGAGCCCTGCTGGTGTGCCAGGACCCATACTTGGCAGAATAGGAAGTTCAGAAATGAGGAAGAATAGCCTCAAGGACTGTAAGGTTTGACAGGCTCATGCTGCACACACCTCCTGACACCCACTTAAGCATGTATACACACACAATAGCAGGACCAGACTCCTGGCTCCCTGCAACACCCATCCTGGGCCAGGAACATGGACAGGAGCACTTTTCATATTCCAAGCCTCTGCCCTAGAGCTTGGGGAAACCTTTCTCTCTGCTCTACAGAAAATGTCCATCAGCTCACAGATCATGCCTGCTGCCACAGAACTGATGGCAGTGCAGCCTGAACACTCTAACAACACAGATACTATACAACTCCAAGTCAGCACCCAAGGCCACTCACCTCAGATTTTCCAAATGAGAGTGCTGCATACAGGATACCTTGAAGCCTATATGCAAGGTCTGTGGCCATCAGCCCTATATAGAGCCCTGTAGCTTTGACCCCCTCTTCCAGGGTATCATCTCAGCTCAGATCCCTATTCCCAGCTACAGCTTTAGGCTTATCTGAGGAGCTGGAAGCTGAGGGAAAGGAATCAAGTTTCCCAGTAGGAGGCCCTTGATTAACTAGAGCCACATTATCAAGGCTGCAGCAGGTTAGAGACAAAGGATGCCAGGGATGAGAGGCAAAGATCCTTTGTGGCCATGTTATTCTTGGTCTCATTCTAATAGCCACCCTCATTCAGTAAAGTGCTGGAGTTACTGTAAAGCAGCCCACTTGGTAACTCTCTAGCTTACCTCACCCCAGGGGCCCAAAGTGGCTTTGTGTAGTCAGAGACCCCTCTGGAAGACAGTCAGGACACATGTAGCAAAGGCAGGCAGCTGTGATGAGATGATACAAATATGGATGTGGGAGCTGAAACCTGAGTTGTAGACCCAGCTCTGCCAGACTCCTTGTATAACCAAGTGCAGGACCCATAAGCAGGACTCGGGTCCCATCTGTGAAATGAGGACAACCATCCTGGCCTCATATGGCTGTGAGAATACAGGAAGAGAAAAGATTGCACCATAAGGACACCCTACCCTGAAGCTTTCCCTTGGTCATATTAAAGGGAAACTCACACTCAGCCCAGGCCGAGTGGCAGAGGCAGCAGTGATGTTGCAGGCCGACTAGCACCTTCCTCTGTGCTGGAGATGGCCTCATGTTGCAGGTGAGACACTGCCAGGGCCCACCCAGCTGACCTACTTCCCGTCAGGACCAGCTTGGTTCAGGCCAGCTCTTGGCCCTTGGGAGGACCTTCCCCTGCCCTCATTTTCCCCAAAGGCCTGGGAACCATACAGCTTCAGCCAGACAGCTTAGATGGTGGTATGTTCTGCTCCTGCTGGCATCAGCCACACCATGGTGGCCTGTCATGGAACACCTACCTCTCCCTTTCCCTGAACAATCTAGGACCTAGGTGGGTCTGGATCATCACAGAGGTGGGTGCACAAGGCTGATAAGAGTGAAGTCTGGGCAAGGGGTACCTCTGGGGCACTAGGTATTAACTGGCTCTCCTACTCTCCAAACAGCTCAGTAACAAGTCCCTTGACAGAGACACAGCAGGCTGGACCCCTTACAGCTATGTGAACGTGTTAGGTCAGTAGTGATTTGAGTGTGGTCCCTGCCAGCATGTCCCACCCTGTTTTCCTTCTCTGCATTGAGGCGGGCCCTGTCCTAGCTCTAAGAGAGAGGGTTAGTAGATGAATCCTGAGCACGATCTCCCCCAGGGAGAAGGGGTGTGAGGAGGAAACCCAAGTGCCTGTTTCAGATTCATAAGCAAATGAAGCCCAGGACCCTCTTCATTCCTATATTAGGGGGTAGGGAGAGGGTAGCTGTGACCCAGGGACAAGGGAAACTACTAGGGCCCCAGGTATGGGGATTATTCCAGATGGAGGCTGAAGATGCACACACCATCTAGAAAAGGAACCCCCTGTCCAACCTAGGTCCTATACCAAGGTACCCATTTCAAGGGTTTCTTCCCACTGCCCTGGTGGACACCAATTCCTGTAGGGGGTAGGGGGTGGGAAGCAAGGCTAATGGCCTCAGCTCTAGCAAATCCCCATTGTCCTGCTGGCCCCAGCCCCTTTGAATGCTACACATAGGGGCCCTCATTCCTTCCAGCCTGCCCTACCATGACCCTTACACCCCCACCCCCTCCCCGCCATTCCAGGGCCCTGGGAATAATAGCTCCTCCCTGTCATTCCTCTCACTAGACTCCCATTTCCAGATCAGTGCCCTGGAGGCCAGGTACCCGCCCGAGGACTTCTACATTGAACTTAGACATCTCAGCCGCCCCGCTGAGCCACACTCACCAGGTTAGCCGCCCCCAGCCCTACCCTCTACCCCCTGGGCCCCTCAGGCTCTCATACCAGTCCAGACCCAGCACTGGCTCTACCTCCCATTCCTGCCCCTTGCTTAACCCATCCCCACTGGTCCCAGAACTCTCCCTATTGAACCCCCCTCCCTCCCAACATGATTGGTCTACAAACCCAATCCCCTAACAAACGAAACCTGCCTAGATTCCCCCATCACCCCTTCTGCTCCCATCATGGTCAGTGGATGTGGACAAACTGTGACTGGTGTTAGGGGAAGGGGACACAATATCATTGTACTCCCTGCAGTCAACAGACTACAACCCAAAACCTTTGAGAAATGACCTGACGATGGCAACACCTTTGGGGTTCTCTGGGCCCTCTGGGTGTGGCTGGCAAACAGATGGTCTCTGGCCCAAAAGCCCAATGTCCCCCAGACCCACCAGTGGCCTAGGCTAAGCTCTCCCAGATCCTAGGGTAGGGCTGTCAAGCAGGGATCTTGATACCTGGGACAGGATGTGTCAACCAGCATCCTCTGTGCTCATGTATTAGGTTCAAATTTGGTGGCCTGGCAAAGATGCAAAAAGGAAACTTGGAAAGCCAGTTCTGCAATGGAAGATGTTGGGTAGAAGTTACAGGTGATATCATAGGAGCAAGTGCTATGAATGAATAGAGAATGTGGGCCCCTTTAGGGCAGGACCTTAGCATACTGGACAGCCTGGGCCTGAGCTCAGGCTCTAGCTGGTTTCTAGAGCTCAAGGGAAACAGCTCTATCAACCTCTGCAGGTCTCTGGGCCCAATAACACTACCCAGTAAAGATTCTAAATTCAGCTGCTGGTTGAGTAGGCATGGGCTACAAAGACCCTGGGCCTGTACCCAGGACGGTATGTTCTTGGCTATGGGGCCATGGGCAGTGTCCAGGGCATTCAATAACCCCACCAAATACAACCCCCCCCCCCC